TTTCTGATGACATCCAGACTTCCTTCATCCTGGTTCCTCTTCAGGTTATGAGTATTCACTGGGAACATTCCACCGTTTCTGTTCACAGTGCCAACTGGTGGCATCTACCAGATCCACCCTGAACTGTTTTCTTTAAATGCAACAATGTTCAGTCAGGTCATCTGAATTGTTTCTTTTTTGTGCTGAGACGTTTCGCCCTCCATCCATAAGGCTTCATCAGTCTGTGGAAATGCCAAACAAAACTGATTCTCCCCCAACAACTTACTCCAAAGTGAAAAAAAAAAAAACAACACTTTGTGGATGGAAGGCGAAACGTCTCAGCACAAAAAAGAAACCCTCCAGATGACCTGACTGAACATTGTTGGATTGTATACCTGGATTATTGAGCATGGACTTTGATGTCTTGAACCAGTTTGACACAACTGTCGACGAAGGAGAGGACATGCCCCAGAGCCCATCTTAGCACCAACATAACTGTTTTTTTCCATTTTGGTGTAAGCTGTTGTGAGAGAATCAGTTCTGTTTGGTGTTTCCTCAGAATGATGAAGCCGTCTGGATGGAAGGCACTGGTACTTCAGCACTTGAATAATGTCTGATGTTGACTGTGACTGTTCTTGGATTCTGTCAACTACAGTCTAATTAATGTTTACTCTTTTCTTTTATGCTGTTAAAAAAGATAAAATAAAATTATTAGTGAAGTTTGTTTTATCTGATTATGAAAGGTGTGAACATGAATAATTTTGATTATTGTTTGCAATCATATTACAGTAATGAAATCATGTGAAATATTATAATGTGTTTTAATAAAGTTCTCTGTTCAGTTTTTCAGAAAATAACTTTTCCTTGAGACATGTGTGTAAGTATTTAAAGATGGAATGTGTTCATGTCAAAAATAAGTCATACACTGTCTGGCCAAAAAAAAAAAAAGGGTCTCACACTAATATTTCGTTGGACCACCTTTAGCTTTGATCACATCATGCATTCACTGTGGCACAGTTTCAATAAACTTCTTCAGTGTCACAAGATCTATTTCATCCAGTGTTGCATTAATTTTTCACCAAGATCTTTCATTGATGACTAGACACCAGGCGTGATGGTGCATCACTTCACCTGACTCTCTCCTTACCCTGATGACTCTGGAACAGGGTCCATCTGGACTCGTCAGACCACATGACCTTGTTCCATTGCTCCAGAGTCCAATCTTTACGCTCCCTAGCAAATTGAAGCCTTGTTTCCAGTTAACCTCACTGATTAGTGGTTTTCTTAAGACTACACATCTGTTGAGTTTCCTTCACATTGTACATGTGGAAATGTTCTTACTTTCTCTATTAAACACAGCCCTGAGCGCTACTGTTGTTTTTTTTCCATCTGATTTCACCAAATGTTTAAATGAGCACTGATCACGATCATTCAGGATTTTTTCCGGCCACATTTCTTCCTGGAAGACGATGGGTCCCCACCATCCTTCCAGTTTTTAATAATGTGTTGGACAGTTCTTAACCCAGTTTTATTAGTTTCTTCAACCTCCTTAAAGTTTTCTCTGCTTGATGCCAATGATTTGACCCTTCTCAAACAGACGGACATCTTTTCCACGACCACGCCATGTGTCTTTAGACATGGTTGTTTAAGAAATGAGAAGCAACTCATTGCACCAGTTGGGGTTAAATAACTTGTTGCAGCTGAAACATAATAGTCCATGAAGTAATTATCCAACAGGAGGCTCGGACCTGTTTGATTAGTGAAATACTGGTGGTGACTTTCTTTTGGCCAGGCAGTGTAATATTTGAGAGTTTCCCAAAACACTTCTGAGGGCTGAGAGTTTAAAATAATAAATTTGCACGCCTCTTTTATGACTGTCTATTGTTGTCGTTGTTATCCATTGTTGTCACTCTTTGTTAAAGAAATCAGGTCTCTCTTGTAAATGAGTGCTGGAGGCTCAATGGGATTAACTTGTCTAATAAAGGTTGAATGAAAAAAAAAAAAAAAAAGTTTCTTTGACTGACACTTTTCATTTTGTCTGTCTTCCCCATCCTGATGTGTTCATCTGATGTCCATCTCATTTATTCCTGAACAAAGAAAACAAGTTTGCTCAGTAACAATTTTTGTTAGAAGCAGAGTTCCAGTAAATACAGAAAACGTTTTTTTCACTGCGAGACTCACATTTTAGGCTTAAAGTGTAAGTCGGCTGAACCACGCCTTCTCATCAGCTGAGACACCGACCCCTGAAGCAGTCACAGTGACAACAACAGTCCATGCTCAATGATCCAGGTATCCAGGTACAGTCACAGTGACCTTCACCTTGGCCAGTGCCTTGCTATAGCTTCTCTCCTCTTGGTCTGTCCTGATCTGATCAAACAGCAGAACCCTGGAAAGACGAGTGAACTCGAGAAGTCGACACTGAACTGGTAAGAGCTGAGACCTGGTGACACGATGCAACTTGATAAATCATTTCCTGGCATTCAGGGACAGCAACTTGATCTGGTCACATTAAAGAACATCTCTCAACCAAATTCCACTGTAAACTATTTATCAAATAGTTAAACTTTGTGTAAATTTGTGCGCGTATAAAAGTCAAATACTTTCTGCTCAAATGATTAATTTGGCCTTGAATAAAACAGAATAATTGCCTGATCAATTATTGTTTAGATTGTTCATTACTGTTTACTAATTACTTTTTCAAACTAGTTCTCCAAATTATTATCGTTTATTCTTTGTGTTGTTCAGTTTTGTTTATTGTTGTTGATGATACTTATGTGGGCGAATTATTTTTGTATTAAAATAAAAGGGCAAATTCAGTTTCCTCCTCATTCGCTATATATAATATTGCGATACTTCCCTGTAACTACGAACTCACCTTCAGTTGTTGAGTCTGATCATTCGAGGGTGAATTTTGTGGTTTAATGTGTCAACCTGTTATTGGTCAGAACCTGACTTGGTGCTCCCAATTTTAAATAAATAAAAAAAGTGTAGTAGAGTGGAGAAAATAATCACCTTTCCCCTTGTTACGACCCGGCTCAGCTAGGAGAAGGGGAGGCAACATTAGAAACCCAGATGGAACAGGTTTGAATAAAAGTAATAATTTAATTGGTCAGTTTAAAACAAAATTTAACATTAACAAAAAGGAGGGGTACTTTCAAAATACAAATTACAATAAAGTTTTCACAACCAAGTCAATAACAAAATTAAGGTTAACCAAGTGAACGAATACTCAAACCAAATTTACAATGAGTCAAAACAAAAAGTAAACAAGTAAGCCTTCTAACTGTTGTCAGGGGCTTACAAACAACACCAACTAATAACAACTGCAGGGTTTAACTGTTGGCCAAAACCAAACCATTCAAATCAAGAGACTCAAGTCCAAAGACAAATAAACCCATACTAATGGCGAGCTGCTCTAAACAACAGCCGCCCTGAATGGCAGGAGAGCTGGGTTTAAATAAGCAGGCCTCTTCTGTGGTTGGAGGAGCAGGAGGTGAAGAAGCCAACCAGGATACAGATTGATGTCCATTGGGGAGGATTCAGGAAGTGAAGCAGCCAATCCCAGATGGGCCACAGCACAGCTGAGTCAGCAATCAACCTGCAAACACTTTTGCTCAACCAAATGGCCTCAGGCCGTAACACCCTTCACTCACTCCTGTTGTTAACAGCTGCTTAGCACAGCTTTTTGGCATCTTTACATTTTTAAATACATTCTAATATTATATTTCATACATTTTTTTTTACATAGCTCTTACTCAGAGCTACAGTATTTAGCCAATATCAACCAAAACGCCAAGTGCAGACGTTTGCCTGTTTTAATAATGGCCAGTGAATCACAAGGTGACGTGCTCCGTTGAGTGTTCTCTATATGGCAGAGACACTTTGTTATACAGTTTGTGATAATGGTCAAGACCTAAACTGCTCCCCTGAAGTGAGATCCACAACAAGTAAAATATTACCTCAGTCCCTAGAGTTTCCAGCAGCAGAATGGGTGGCAGATCTTTCAGTTCTCAGGCTCCTCTCTTGTGGAACCAAGTTCCAGTTTCTGCCCATGAGGCTGACACATTGTCCAGTTTGAAGACTTTCCTTTTGTATAAATCCTATAGTTAGAGTTGTTCTGCTGCTATAGGCTTAGACTACTAGAGGACCAACTGACCCCATTTCCTTAAATGAATCATTAAAACTGAATAGTTTTCATTTGATACTGTTTCTATCTGAACATGTGATTCTTGACCTGCCATTGTGTATCTATTCCTCTCAAACCAGCTGGTTGAAGCAGATGGTCCTCTTGTCCTGATCCTGGTTCTGCTAAAGGGTTCTTCCTCATGAGGGAGTTTTTCTTTCCACTGTCGCCTTCATGCTTGCTCAGGATGAGAGTCTGTGATGGAGTTAAACTCAAAGCTGCTCCTCAGATAAATCAATCAACTTTTATTTATACAGGTAAATCCCAATGTTCAATTATTATTTTAAATGTGAATGTTTCTGTTCAGTCCTTGAGATGACTTCTGTTTGGGACAGAAGGCAGGCTGGTGTATTTAACGACGTTCATTGGACGCTAGGGGGCGAAGCAAAGCACATCAATTATGGCCCTTTTGGCTTTCCTTACAATAAACTATATTCAGATTTATTTAGTCCACACAGATTAAAGCAGATTATGTAAAGCAACCAGTCGGGTCGGACTGTAGCCTCAGTACACCCAGTAGATGTGAGTTTAGTTTCCGGTCGACTTGGGTGTGTGTGACAGAGTCACGGGCTGTGGCTGTCGGAACCAGGACCTGCTTGTAAGTGTCCTTCATTTTTAGATTGGACTGCTGCTCATTATGATCCACGTTACTCTGAAAACACGAGCTCGATGCATGGGGATGCGCGCGCATGTGACTTGAGCTAATGTTAGCTAGCTTTTATTCTGCAGTCGCTGGACAAAGCGTGTCGTCGGAACACTGTCAGTAGATGCAGCTGGACCTTCTACAGGTCCAACACAGGGTTGCTGTAACACGCAGCGCCTCAGGAAGTCACGGTTACGAGGCTCGTCGACTAGTCGTGACGCCGAACTCTGTTTGGAAACTGAAATATTCAAAACTGGCTTTCCTCGACTCAAATAGCGTCAATATGTATTGTAAGTAAAGATTATATTTGACGTATTTGAATAACTTTACTATTGGGTACCATTTCAGTGAGGCCTAATTGTCTGTGAAGTAATTTCGTCAGGGCGAAACAGAAATAAAATACAGTATATTATTTAAAAGTCGTTCATTGCCTCAGACTGGAACGTGTCCTGAAAGACTGCAATTTACTGAGGTGTTCATTTTTAAAACGCATTCAAATAACACAAGCAACTCAAACTGTGCCCCACCATGTCTTCTCACTTTTAAGATGATAAAATCCGTTAGTCTGCGCCGACTGTCGTGACTTCCGTCTGCCGAGTATTGTGACTCCAGGGGGCGCTGTTGGACCAAAACCAGTAACTTGCTCCGCAACCATAGACATATACACATAGACCCTCATGGAGCGGGCTGGCCAGAGCCCTATAAAAAGAGAGTTACGAGCACATGGTGATGGTTATCAATTCCACTCTGTGTTTCCTGAATGTGCTCACCCAGACCAAACACATCCTCAGCTCCAACATCAGCCCGGACAAACAGATTGATACTGAATACACTCACAGTCCCCTCAGATGGAACCATTACCCCCCTTTGTTTTTTAGATGGAGTAAGTGGTAGCTCTGATCAAGTGATGCAGGTACAGCATCAGTAATCAAGCTACCAGGGCACACATCACACAACAGCTTCTTTAACATTTGCCGAACCACAAACCCCGAGATGTAGACAATGGCGTTGTCAACAAGGCCCCCAAAGCGAGTTGGCAGATAACTGTGGTCACGCACAGTTGCCGAAGTGTTTGCAAAAGGGGATGGCAGCTCTCTGGTTTCTTCTGCTGTGGAGGAAGATGGCATTTCTAAAGCTGACAGAAACATAGTCACATCCTGTACTGCCACATTTCCTGATGCACTTGGAGACACCCCACAACGCACCATCAGGCGATGGAAAATGGCTTGGAACTGCCTGCTGAAGGGTTATTGTTCCAGCCTCCTGAGAAAACATAAAAGCACAGACTCAACACTTTCACATATTACCTAGTTGGACTTAACTTTATCTGAAAGAAAACTAAAATAAATAAAGCAATACATAATTGTCTATCTGAGGATGTAATGACAACACTGTTAACAGAGTGTTACAGAGCACACAAACCAAAAGTGAAAAAACAAAAACTGAAATTCCAAGCTGAAATGAGTTTTCTCCGCAGAGAGTCTGGGCTCTCCCTTAGAGGTAAGGTGAGAAGCTTGGTCATCCAGGAGGGACTCATAGTAGAGCTGCTGCTTCTCCACATCAAGAAGAGCCAGTTGAGGTGGCTCAGTCATCTAGTTAGGATGCCTCCTGGACGCCTCCCTGGTGAGGTGTTCCGGGCACGTCCCATCGGGAGGAGACCCAGAGGAAGACCCAGGACACGCTGGAGGGACTATGTTTCTCGGCTGACCTGGGAGCGCCTTGGGATTCCCCTGGAGGAGCTGGCCCAAGTGGCTGGGGAGAAGGAACTCTGGACCTCCCTATTTAGGCTGCTACCACCACAACCCAACCTCGGATAAGTGGAAGAAAATGGATGAATGTAATGTTAATAATGAATGTAGAATTAGTGCTTCTGCAGTTCACTTTGTTCAGTCACAAAAGGAATAAAAATTCACAACTGGTATAGAAAACATAACTTCAAATAACATGAATGGTAAATGGACTGTACTTATATATCGCCTTTCTATCTTATTTCAAGATACTCAAAGCGCTTTACACTACAATCTGTGCCTCATTTACCCATTCATACAGCTCTATACTAGATCTCTACAAAGCTAATTGAATAAATCATTCTAAAGAGATTAATCAGTGCTTTAGATCACATTCATACACTGATGGGACACACATCAGAGGCTATGAGGGGTTCAGTGTCTTGCCCAGGGACACTTCAGCATGCGACTGCTGGTGGATTCGAACCCCCAATTCTCGCATTGGAGGACGACTGCTCTAACCACTCAGCCACAGCCGCCCCAACAATGAACAATACCACTGTAGGGTATGCAGATGTGGGAGATTAATTTTAAGAGACTCTTAAATAAGTGTAAGCTTTTGGCCCGTGTAAGTGTAGAGTGATTGCAATTTTTACATTTTTATAACTTCACTTTATTTTGCCAACATAATGTAATGTTTCTTTTTTGTTTGTTAATTGTATTATATTTTTTTATCATGTAAAGTTCTTTGAACAGCCTTGTTGCTGAAATGTGCTATGCAAATAAAGTTAACTTGACTTTACAAAACATATAATCAATTCCTTTCACAATCAGAATAGAAAATGTGTCATAGCATGGCATCCATTTATCTTCCAACCATACCTTTTGGAGGTGAGCTGGGAAACTGGAGACAGAAGGAACAGTCCCATCTCTGATCCTCACTGTCTGACTTGTTCTGTCAAAGTCCTCCGGTGTGAAATGTTCAATGCAGAGCGTTGAAGATGAACTGTCAGAAAACCCTTCCCTTCTCAGAGCGACCTCCCAGTCTCTCCTCTTAGCACTATCTTTTGGAAACCTATACAGAAGTACAACAGTTAGCCAAACACATAGCAAATTTTATTATAAAAAATGTTTAGTAATTTCATAAAATAAAAATGATGACTTCATAGTTTAAAAGTGAGTTTGACCAAGATAATTCATTGATTTTATCTTCTGAAAAAGGGATAAGTTGGTAACAATATCGTTACAGACTTTTAATTAAAAGTCTTTTAATGTAAAAGCCTTTAATTAAAAGGAACTGTTAGCAGTTCCTTTTCAACTATGGATATGTTAACTGAGTTGTTATATAATTAACTGCATATATTTTGATTATTATATATAATACCATTAGCAGACTAAAGTAAATACCAGGTTGAATGAATGAATGAAAATTAAACTAGTAAATGAGTTATGCGCGGTAATCCATTTTCCATAACGTTGACAAGTACACTTGGAAAACACTGTTATAATGGTGAAAATTATGCAGACTATGGCTGAAAAACGATCAAGAGACTTGTTGAAGCAGCACACGTACGAGGCATTTTACAGTCTCCGTTTTCCTCCTGACTCCACCAAGATGGCACTGACATAGGAACACCTTTCAACGTCCAACGGGTCGTCTACGTATTTATGTTTATGGGGCTGGCTCGCTGCAGCCAAGTATACCTTGCTGCAGCAAACAGAAATGGGCGTGAACAGACCAGTGTCAATGCCATACCATATTTGGAAATGGGACTCCGGAAATGAAGGGGGCGCTATTTCCTTTACCAGCCGTGTTATATTACCGTGGTATGTCTTTATTTATTGTCCTTTATTTATTATTTATTGTCGTGGTATGTTTTATTTTATATGTCCCCTCCTATTCTCTTTATACCTACTGCCGCTTGGTGCTATTTTCCGGAAACACAACATACCCTTCCACTTCTATGCCGATGACTGTCAAATTTACTTCCCCCTAAGACACAATGGTACATGCTCTATTCAACCGCTGCTTGACTGCCTGGCTGACATCAGGGACTGGATGGCTTTAAACTTCTTAAGTTTCAATGAAAAGAAGTCTAAAGTCATGTTGTTCCCTCCCAACGACACGATCACTAACCATTGCATCGACCTCTCCGTTCTAACCCTGTCAGAAAAACAAAGAGTCACTAATCTGGGCGTGATAATGGACCTTTCCCTGAAACTTAACAATCATGTAAACATGATTGTAAAATCATGCTTCTTCCAACTGAGGCGGCTGTCTAAACTGAAGCCCATATTGTCCAAAAAGAACCTGGAGACAGTAATACATGCATTCATTACATCTAGGCTTGATTACTGCAATTCGCTCCTGTTTGGTATCAGTCAGACCTCTATAGCACGACTACAACTGGTCCAGAATGCAGCAGCCAGTACGGGCAAAAGAGAGCACATTACACCAGTTTTGGCCTCACTGCACTGGTTACCGTTTCACTTTTGAATCCAGTTCAAAATACTCATGTATGTCTACAGATCACTGAACAGCCCCCCCCCCCCACACACACACACACAATCTCTCTGATCAGCTACAACCGTATGTCCCACCGCGTTCCCTGAGGTCAGCGGACCAGTTGCTCCTCACAGTTCCAGGATCTTGTCTTAAGCGCAGAGGTGACAGGGCCTTCTCTGTAGCAGGACCAAGACTTTGGAACGAGTTACCTCTGCTTGTGTGACAGGCCCCCTCCCTCTCGGTTTTCAAGTCCCGTTTTAAAACCCACTACTATTCGGTGGCTTTCAACACCAGATGATCTGTGTTTTGATCCTGTATGCTCCACACTGGTTTGTCGTCATTATCCATCCATCCATCCATTTTCTTCCGCTTATCCGGGGTCGGGTCGCGGGGGTAGCAGCCTAAGTAGGGAGGCCCAGACTTCCCTCTCCCCAGCCACTTGGGCCAGCTCTTCCGGGGGAATCCCGAGGCGTTCCCAGGCCAGCCGAGAAACATAGTCCCTCTAGCGTGTCCTGGGTCTTCCTCTGGGCCTCCTTCCGGTTTGTCGTCATTATCTGCATCGTTTTTATGTCTATATTCTGATTTACCTCATTTTGTATATTGCTTTGTGTGTTACCTGTTGTTTTGTCTGTACAGCTCTTTGGTTGGCCTTGTTGCTGTTTTAAGTGCTCTATAAATAAAATGGTATGGTATGGTAATCTCTAAAGGAGAGCCCAGACACCCTGCGGAGAAAACTCATTTTGGCCGCCTGTATCCGTGATCTTGTTCTTTCGGTCAAAACCGAAAGCTCATGACCATAGATGAGGGTAGGAATGTAGATTGACCGATCAGATTTGGAGGAACTGATCTTCATCCCGGCCGCGTCACACTCGGGTGCAAACCGCTCCAGCGAAAGCTATAGCTCACGACCTGATGAAGCCAACAGGACCACATCATCTGCAACAAACAGAGAAGCGATCCTAAGGCCACCAAAACAGATTTGTCAGCACCTTGGCTGCGCCTAGAAATTCTGTCCATAAAAGTTATGAAAAATATCGGTGACAAAGGGCAACCTTGG